ATTTGGAATTGGCTTTGGAATGGGAAATCCCTGAGGCTCAGGGAATCCTGGAATGGTTTGGGATGGAAAAAGCTCAAATCCCAACAATTTCCACCCTTCCCAATGCTCCAAACTTCTGGAATTGAACATTTACAATTGCTCCAGGTTTCTCCAAACCTCTGGAATTGAACATTTCCCATTGTTCCAGGGAGATTTTCCACAGCACCACCCATGAATCCCTGGATTCTGGGGAGGTTTTAGCTGGATTTGGGAATGGAAAAAAGCACCTGGATCATCAGGATCTCTTGGAATGGAATGGGCAATCCCTGAGGCTCAGGGAATCCTGGAATGGTTTGGGCTGGAAAAAGCTCAAATCCCACCAATTTCCACCCTTCCCAATGCTCCAAACCTCTGGAATTGAATATTTCCTATTGCTCCAGGGAGATTTTCCACAGCACCACCCATGAAAACCTGGATACAGACAGGAAAACCTGAATCCTGGATGGAAATGGGATGGAAAAAAAGCACCTGGATCATCAGGATCCCTTGGAATGGGCAATCCCTGAGGCTCAGGGAATCCTGGAATGGTTTGGGATGGAAAAAAACTCAAATCCCACCAATTTCCACCCTTCCCAATGCTCCAAACCTCTGGAATTGGGGCATTTCCAGCCATTCCCATTGTTCCAGAGAGATTTTCCACAGCACCACCCACAAATCCCTGGATTCTGGGGGGGTTTTAGCTGGATTTGGGAATGGAAAAAAGCACCTGGATCATCAGGATCCCTTGGAATGGGAAATCCCTGAGGTTCAGGGAATTCTGGAATGGTTTGGGATGGAAAAAACTCAAATCCCAACAATTTCCACCCTTCCCAATGCTCCAAACCTCTGGAATTGGACATTTCCAGCCATTCCCATTGTTCCAGGTTTCTCCAAACCTCTGGAATTGGGCATTTCCTATTGTTCCAGGGAGATTTTCCACAGAACCACCCATGAATCCCTGAATTCTGGGGAGGTTTTAGCTGGATTTGGAATGGGAGGATGGAAAAAAGCACCTGGATCATCAGGATCCCTTGGAATGGAAAATCCCTGAGGCTCAGGGAATTCTGGAATGGTTTGGGATGGAAAAATCCCACCAATTTCCACCCTTCCCAATGCTCCAAACCTCTGGAATTGAACATTTCCTATTGCTCCAAGGAGATTTTCCACTGCACCACCCATGAATCCCTGGATTCTGGGGAGGTTTTAGCTGGATTTTGGAATGGAAAAAAGCACCTGGATCATCAGGATCCCTTGGAATGGGCAATCCCTGAGGCTCAGGGAATCCTGGAATGGTTTGGGATGGAAAAAAGCTCAAATCCCACCAATTTCCACCCTTCCCAATGCTCCAGGTTTCTCCAAACCTCTGGAATTGGACATTTCCAGCCATTCCCATTGTTCCAGGGAGATTTTCCACAGAACCACCCACAAATCCCTGGATTCTGGGGAGGTTTTAGGGATGGAAAAAAAGCACCTGGATCATCAGGATCCCTTGGAATGGGCA